GATGCCAGGACGAAAACAACATCACACGACGTCTCATGCGGAAACCGAGAGAAACCTCCTTTTTAACGGTGATTTACCTCAGACTGACGAACCCTGCAGTTTGAAACATATTGATTTAACATCTGCCGTTAATAAACAAACCCCCTGGTAGTCATTAGAGGTTCAATCGGCTGTCAGCGAGGAGATGAGCACATTCCAGAAATAGCTTTGAAGCAAAGGGTCGTCGACTCGAATGACCATTAAAAGGACGAGCAATGTGGCAGCGAAAACAGTAAGAAAGAGCTGGAATACGTTTCTTCCAGGGGAAAAATCAGCAAGGTGCTTGAGTCAGATTTCCAGAAGCAAAAGAGTGCAGTCTGAGTCTCCGGAAAAAAAAGGTCCGGAGGCCTTCTTGATAAAGACGTGAACGTACTTCAGAAATGGCGAGAGTACTTGAAGAACACTTTAACTTCGAGTAACAGCAGGGAAACTCGCTGTCAGGGTAGGAAGCAAAGGATACTAGTCTTTCTGTGCAATAATTTCAGACAGAAACCAGTAAATACTTAAAGTTTTATTCGAACGAGGCATGTGATGGCTAACACCTGTTTGTCAAACAGCAGTGTGTACGGAAAAGACACCAGTTGGACGGAAAACGGAACTTGTAGCACCCCTGTTCAAGGAGCTAGGCTATAGAGAGTACTCAAACCATGGCAGAGGGGGCATTACCCCACTAAGCCTCCTAAGAAAAATCTACCCAATTATGTTAGAAAGGAGGTGTCGCGGAATAACTGACTCTCACAGTGAGGCTTCAGATCGGTCAAAAGCACTTTTGACTAAATTTTTGCCTACCTCCCGATTGTATGAGTTCCTAACTCCGATTTACGTGTGCCTTGTTGACCTAGAAAAAGTCTCTTACCTGATCCCGCATAACAAGCTACGGTCGTGCCTGCAAACGCATGGGGTCGATTGCCAGCTGCTACGAGCCATTCGATTATTATATTTTGGTTTTGCGTCAGAGTAAATAACATTAAATCAAGATCTTTAAGGGCTGGCACGGAGTTTCAGCAAAACTGGACTCTGATCCCTCTCTCCTGTTTGTCTTGCGCGTGAATTAGATCGTCAGGGGTAACCAGGACAGCGATTATATCAGCGTGAGACATGTGGAAACGGTAAAGGTGCCGTTTATAGACGACCTAGTTTTGCTGGCATCTCCTGAAACTTGCCTCCCGAGGTCTCTAAAAAGACTCACAACCAAGCGCGACCTGTTCGCCCCCCCCCATACATGTGGACGTGTCTAAAGCCAGAAGCATAGTGCTTTCTCTTCTTCTAGCCGCCTTGCTTTGCAGATAATCGAGGAAGCAGTGGAATAGCGAAGAAGCAGTGGAGCGGAAGATTATGTATCACCTGGTCGTATTTAGTAATGGTGAAACATGGGTGGACGAGATATATCACCGAATCTGAATAGCCAGTGGCATTCTATCCACTGTGACTAAGACAGAGCTGAGTCGGAGGGCAAAGTTGTTTGCTCTTAGTCGATCTTTATCCCCATGCTCCCTTATAGTCGTGAGTTGAAGACAATGACTGAAAAACTCCGATCGAACCATACATAACCGAAATAGATTTTTTTGAAACGAGTCACAGGACTCACCCTTCTGGGTATGGTTTGAAGTACAGATATAGGAGAGTACCTTGGTGTGCAGCAGTTGCTTCTCCAGATGTAATATTTCCCGAAAGGAAAGCGAACCAGCCACTGCTTACCCAACCGACCGACGGAAGACCAAGAATGACCTGTCGCAAGTTCCTCCACAGACTCTACCACATACTTTAGTTATTTTCTTCCGGATCAGGAACGTTGAGGAACGCTGTCTGAGGCACCTGTCTGTTTGATCCCAAGGAATAAGCCGTCTTCGAAACTGATTGACTGAAATTGATATTCTGCCTCCGATTTCTGGTATGACTCATATATCTAACACGCTCTTGTTCGCATCTTTACATGCTCATGCACGTCACTGGCTGGCTGAATAGTTTAATCACGCGCTTCGGAATGCGAAGTGTTGAAGTCTATCTTTAACCTACTATTGCTCATGCTGCTTTACAAGAAATGAACAGTGATTTCAAATCGTAGACCTGGTCGTTTTTTGAATTTTGAATATACAACACTGTACGCAAATGTTTTACTCTGAAGTCGCCAGCTTTGAATCCTGGGAAAGAAGCAAATTTTTCAGTTTTTTTCACTCGCTTAAGAAAAGCATTCCTTAGCCTCCAATTCGGTGCTTCTACACTCAGCTTCTATGAAAAAATCATCGTGTACTCAACTTTCTGACTCCAATGCTGAAACGATTGTCAGAGTTTGTGAGTTACAACGATGTTGCACCGTAGTTTGGTTCACTTATTGTTCGCTTCCAGAACTCTGCATACACATCGTATACTTCAAGGTAGTTCACTCTGTTAGAGCAGCGCAGGTCTCTCAGTCGAAACGTCACGGGTTCGTTTCCCGGTTAGTTTTTCTGGTGTAGGTTCTTTTTTCCATTATGACTAACTTTTTAGCGCTAATTTTTGACTGCCTGTGATCGTATGTCATAATAATGATAAATAATGACAATAATAACAATAATGACTACCTATTAAGAAGCAGGAGACTATTATAATAGTCACGTGGCTGTTATGCATTTTGTCTTCAAAACTAATGCATTACTGACTGACGCAATCGAAACGGAGACTAGAATTCATTTTACCGCTGCCCTTTAAGAATCATCTCGCGGACACTATTTATCGGCCACATGTGAATGTTATTATCTATGCACTGTACAGCATCATCCATTTGTCTAATGATTTGAAAGAACTGTTATTACTTTGGCTGAGGCGTGCTGAAATGTCAACCAGAAAACATGACCTCCGTTGCACTGAACGCCACACCGCTCTCCGAAAGGCACACAGGGAAAGAGACTGGTACGTTAAGACCTGTGGGAACATACTCACAGCTGACGTGGGAATTCTCTCTGGACTACTACCGTGCTGGCACAAATGGTGCAAGGAAGACTGACTGAACTGGGTGGTGGAAATTGAGCATGATCGGCAGAGGCAGAAAGCGGTGATCCGGACGTCATTGGAGCTAGTTCAATCAATGATATAAACAACCTTAGCAACAGCAACAGTCAGGAAGTCTGAATCTGGGCTGGGTGGCAATCCAATACATTTTGCAGCATATGTTTACTCGTCAGATTCGTACCAATACAACTTAAATCACTGTTGTCTGATGAAGCACGCCTAAGCAGAGTGAAGGCCTTAATTCATGGCAAGAATCACCAGCTATGTGTTCTTCTGTACAGCAGTGGACATTTTAAGTATTAAAAGTCTATGCTAGAGTTCGCTCGTGTCATTCGAATGTTCACTGTGAATCAGCCTCAGCGTTTCTATCATGGGAGCTATCAACGGCCAAAATATGGATCGCAAAATGCATTGCACAAAGACGGCCTTGAGCTGCTATTTTATATGTGAAGGTTCAGCATAAACCTTGGAATGATTAGCTAAAATAGCGGAAGTAAAGGATCGCAGTTTAGGTTCTACTGATGTATTATTCATGTCTATTTTGGCAATCTTGTCTAAAAAAATGCATTCCCATTGAAAGTCCAATCGAGAGGATATGGGCTAGCCACCATTCGTGTTAATTTGTGAAGACAGCAGGAACAAATCTTTTCATCATGGAGACAACCTCTGAGAAAAGAAGAACGAATCTTGAGTAGGAATAATGCAAGATCTGGAAATCAGGCGACGTACTGAATCAGAAACTGAAAAGATAACAATCCCTTTAGCTTCATTTGGAATGGTCAAGACCAAGGAAGCAGCGTCGTCTCAAGGTTAACTCATTCAGATCTTCAACCAGTCCGAACAAATGATGACATTTGCTAACTGTTAAAAATTGATCAATTTGCATAATTTTCGTTGAGTGCGATGGGCATCCATATTTGAAAATAAACCGGTGAGCTAGGTTGATTCCTCGTAAAATTCATTTCTTATTTTACGCTTAAATTTACACCAACTACCGCTGGTTTACACAGTACAGTCGTAACGAAGGATCACGCATTTCCTTACCACGGCAAAGCTGCATCGCCCTTTGTTGTTGGACGCTCAAACATTCTATTTCATCAAGTCACGGCTCCATAACACTTCAGCGCTGACAGTGCCCCTGCTTCTAAAACCCTTCTTCTTAACGAATGACTCCTCCAAGATCAGATATCATGATACCATTGCCCCTTCTTCTTCGTATAATTCTCATCGTTCTACGGCCTCTGTATTAAGTCTGCGGTGGCCATTGATTCTTCGGAGTAGACTTAGAAGCGGCAGCGGTTCGTGATATAATTCTACCTCACAGATTATCATTTTTTCGTCCGTCTATTACGAAAGGCATATGCACCTACCGTGCCTTGTACAAACGTGGCTCAACGCGGCCTATTGTCATAGGTGTAAGCAGAAGCTTTGGACGTTCTTCAACTTCTTGGCTAAATTTTCCCAAGTCCAAGCAATCAACAGGCAAAATAACCGAAGCATACCAAGCGGCATGTCGCAGATCTCAATCAGTAAACGCTACGCATTACGTGTACCCTTCAACGCCTGGAAGCAACGCGATCTATAACAATACATACAAGGGAAGAATGTTAATGTTCTATTTGTGTGACGTCAGTACCGCTACAAACTGTTTTACCTTAAGTAAACAGAATACTGTACAACCCATAGTAATATGTCCCAGTCCATTGTACACAATCAGATATGAA